CACTTCTCCTGCAGCCCCACCCTGCAGCCTCCTGCCCTCTAAGAGGGGTGGAAGCTGAGAGGGAAAAGGTCAGTGAGGTTGAATGATCCTAACTAAGAAACAAAACCCAGGCTAACCAAGAGCCAGTGAGGTCTCCTGGATATCTGTTCAGCATCCTTCCCTTCTGCTAGGCTTTGCAGACTCATCTCTCAGCAGCTCTGCGTCATGGATAATTTACCAGCTATTCACCAGTCTCATTACTTCATAGTGGGTGGAAGCTTCCAATTGGCCTGAAGCCCTCCAAAGCTAAAAACAAGACTATTTGAGCTCAACAAGACATGTTGAGCTTTTGGACTCCAGCTAATACTTTAATATACCTGAGTCCCAGAGGAAATCCTTAAAATAGGGGCGCTCCACACAGTAGCCCTGACACATAGACCTATCTATTTCCTGCCTAAATGAAAAATGTCCTAGTCTATTTTTTCCCCTTTCTGGGAAGCTGACCTAAACAACCAAGGGTGTGCTATAAATGTCTTTCAAGACTTGACTTGTAGATTCTAATTATAATTAAGATGATAATAACATTACTTTGTATCTGTGCCTTTCTCCCAAAGTGCTCCAGCACTCTCAGCTGTGTGAGGGCAGCTATGACGTGCTCGTTTGCATCTACTTGATGATTCTAATTACATCTTCTTTTGATTCTGGTTCTGAACTCACCTTCCTTCCCTGAGCCTGGGGCACCAAGACTACATCACCGAGCTAAATTTCCTCCGTGTCTGGCAGTGTTATCTGAGGGAGGAGCCCTGGTGTTCACCTTGGCAGGACCCAGAAGCCAGCAGACTGCTGTGCTGGCTCCCGCCCGGCCCCTTCCTGCCAAGAGCGTGTCCACCCGCATCACTCTCACTCCCAGACTCCCGGGTGCCAGAGAGTGAGCCTGGCTTCCTGTCCCTGACGCCAGGGGAGGGCCCCTTCACTGCAGGCACCCTGCACCCAAGCCTGCCCTCAGTGGACTCTCCGCCCTCAGAGTCTCAGTTCTAGGGCGGGGACAGGCTTGGGCTTGCCTGAGTGTCTGTTGCATTGCGCTGGGTCACACAGGAGCTTTGTGTGGTCTTCATGATCCCTTTGAACATGTACCGCAGGCTCTCCCCTGGCCCTGGAGGAGACTCTGGCAGGCCTTCTTACTCTTCTGGTCCCTCTGAGCTAAAAACAACTCTGTGGTCACTGAGGTCATGGAATAGTCTCACTTCTGAAGTTAAATGTCCAAGCCCTATAGAAAATGAACACGCTGAACTGGATTTTGAGTTGAGGCCTCTCCTTGCCTTGCTCCTGGTTAAGGCCAGCTGTAGAGAGCAGGGGCAACTGGGATCGGTTCTCTTCTCTTCCTTCTCCCTTCACCTGCTGACTACACTTGGTGGCTGTCATGCCCCTTCCTACAGGAGGAGGAAGAGGTGAGGAGGGAGGGGGAGTAGAAAGAGGAGGGGGAGGGAAAAAGGGAGGGGAAGGAGAAGGAGTTCTAGGGCTTGAGCAATATTACAGTTCAGTCTTCCTCAGAGACTTCCTTCTCATCATTGTCACTGGGCTTTGTGACTTGTGGATCCAGAGGAGAGTTGATGCTTCTGAATCCTACTGGTTGTTTATACTTTCTGAGTCCTTGAAAATCCAGCAACACCTTTGCTTCTTTGAGCTGAGGTCTGTGCCCCCAGCAAGCGACTCAGTGGGGCAGCATGTAAGTTCACACCCAGCACACACAGCGTGCTGCCCACATCCTTTGTCCTACACCCACTTACTCAGCCCAGCGCTCTCTCATCACTATGTGGTCAAGGCCACCTGGCAGCCCTTTGGGTTTCCAGGCTGCACCAGTCTGCTGTATCCCCAAACTGAAAGCAGTGCAGATTAAGTCCTCCTCTAGCATAAGGGGAATGAGACACATCCTTTACTTCTGTCTTTTTGTGCAAAGGTCCGGGGGGGGGGTGCTCTCAGCATACTAACATCTTTCTCCAAAACTCCTCACTGAAAATCTTGCCTTTCAATTCCCATTTCAGCCCCATTTTTAATTTGGATGTTCCAGAGTTAAGAACAATCTATTCCTTTTTCCCATCTCTTTGGATCTCATTTTTTGAGTAGGGTTTTAAGGTCTTGGTTCTTTAGATGAACTTGACTCTGACAGGAGAGAGAAGTACAAGCAGACATCTTGCATGGCCTCCCTTTGGGACTTTGACATGTTCCCAAGAGCCTCGATTGTTAAAATAGATTTACCTAGTTTTAAATTAGAACTTTTATGAATTGATTGTGTTAAATCTCTAAAGGGAAACAGAATTAGAATATCTGGGTGTGTTATAGCCAGCCCTCCTTAGCCTCCACTAAAATTTACCTAGGTTTTCCAGCAAAAACAAGAAACACACAGTGTTGGAGTTCACATTATTAATACATCTTCCAGTGCTTAGTACTGAATTTACCCCACCGAATCACAATCCATTTCCCTAATAAGACAACTGTGGCCCATCTTGGAGTCTGTACCCCGTTCATTAGTATCACCCAAGTGTCTAAAAGAACACTCTTTGGAGAGAGATCCATATATTTTGAAAACTGATAGACATTATCCAATATACCACCCAATGTCCCTTCTGTATAAAGGTAACAATATATTTAACCCAATATTTCTAACTGTAGTTTAATTTGCATGCTTCCTTTTACTTGCTAGTGGGAACTAACTAGATGTATTTCTTATTTTGCTTTGCCTACCAGGAAGTTCAGCGTTAAATTGTAGGGTGTTCAATTGCAGTAGCCAATTCACCCTAGGAAGCCAATGTGTCTGCTGCATTTCCCTTTTGTTTGGTTTCTGGTAGTTCTTCTTTTAAATGTTTTGTTATATCTTCAGATATATTCTGACATTGTAAACCACCTCCAATTCTTTTTTAAAAAATTCTTGTAGGATATTTATCCTAAATAAATATGAACAAAACTCCCATTTATTCATCTCTACCAAACTATTTATTGATCACCTCCTACATGCTAAGCATTTTGTGACGTAGTGAGAGAAACAATGGTGAGCAAACAAACCTTCCGTCTCTTGCAGATTTCCTAGGGTACCAGGTTCAAAACACAGCAGGAGAACAACTAGAAACTCAAGATGGGAGGGGACACACATGAGAAGGAAAGTCATAGGACTTTGGAGTTGATGGCAGTCAAGAGAAGAGAGTTTTCCAAAGAAAAGATAAATCCACTGCTGCAGAGACCAAGTAAGATGAAAACTGAGTGGTGTCCATTTAACTACTCTGCCAAGAGAAATTTCGCTGGAGATAGCAAATGTAGACAGTTCCTTCCAAAAATTTGACTGTGGCAGAGAGGGACAGTGCTGCCTTTGGGGAGAGTATGACAACTCGTGCTGAAAGTGGACTCAGCTCCATCCGGAACCCACTAGTTATCAACTTGGTAACATCAAATAATTATCTGAGTTTCCATTGATTTCCAAGTCTTCTTGAGCTTAGGACCATACCAATTCATCAAAAAAGCGAGGGCCCAAGAGTCCTGGATATCAGGTCAAGGAGACCTGATTAACAAGCCCATTAACAGCTGAGCACATTGGCTGCCTTCTATTCTTTTAAATATCTTGGTGGCTGCTATTTTCCAGAAGCACCCAAGATCCCGGGAGCACCCCGAAGGCTCTATTCTCAGCTCAGACGTCTGACACTCTTGGCTGCTAGTCTGCAGCTGGCCTCCGTCCCAACTTATGAACACAACAGCCTTGCAAAATCTGCCCAACCAATTCCTCCACATAGTAGAGGAAGGGAGGTTGCCCAACAAGCACTGTGGAAACACGTTCACAATTCACATTTCACTTTTCCAAGTCTGGGTTCCAGTCTCCCTGGACTTTTGTTGGTTGCTTTGCTTTTTATCTCATATTAACTCCATTCATCTTAAGGATGGCTCTAGTGATTTATGAAAGTGCTCTGCATTGTGATTTTTAATGTTATGAGCCTAAGAAGGAAGCCAAATGTCTTCAAGGCAGATGTAGACACTATGAGACTTTCCAAATTTACTTCACTAATTGATGCAAGTGGTAACTTTCTCCAAAATCACAGCGACTCAAAATATAATTGCATGATATTCTGCCTACTCTTCTGTCTCTATCACGCACTTAACTTGTATATCACATAACATTCAATCACCTCTCTCTGCTATGTTTTGGTTGTGGTATGAGTGTCCCCCATGGGTTTACTGTGATTCAAGTCTTGGCCCTCGGTGTGCGGATGGGAGGTGGGGGAATCTGTGGAAGACCAGAGCCTACTGAGAAGTCTTTACTTAACCGAGGGAATGAGCTAGTTCACAGAAAGTCCTTGAGTTCTCGTGAAAGGACTATTATGAAAAGAGCGAGCCTGGCCCTCACACTCTCCCCACTCCTGTTCCTCAAGTAACACAGGATGTGACACCATCCACAGCCCTCACTGGAAGCCAAACCAATCACATCAGATTTTGGACTTTGAGCTCCAAAATTAAGATAAATAAATCTCTCCATAACTTAGCTGTCACAGGTATTTTGTTGTAGTAGTGCAAAGCCAACTAATCCACCCTCCTTATTTATAATGATAGTTTTGAAATTAACTTGCATTTCTTCCTTTGTCTTGGCTGCCTGGAAGCTCAAATTTGGGCTTCATTTTCAGATGCCACAAACTACAGCAAATTTGAATTTTGCTGTTGTTACATTTGTTTATCGACTTTCTTTGCAACTACTTAAATTTTTTTTTACTCATATTTTATTCACTTACTGTCTATGACATTTTTGGAAGCTGCATTCTATATATTTTGCAAAGGAGGTAGGAAATAAATAAAATCAATAATAATTATGCATCCATTTTACAAGTTCATTCTCCTTTCAGTTTATTTTCATTTGTATACAGGAGTGAGTCTTAACTTATTTTCTCACTTGATCTTAGCCAAAAGGCTGAGAAGCGATTAACTTTTTTTCAAAGAAAAACTCTCTGTTATTTCATTAAGACTTCAGTTTGTAGGCTGTGTGTGTAGCAAGATGCATTATAGCATAACGACTGTGAATGTGAACTCTGAAAGCAGATTGCTTATGTTCGAATCCCAAATCTACCTCCTACCAGTAGATGACCTTAATTCTAAGGTCATCTAAGCAAATACCTTAATTCTGTGCTCCTCAGTTTTAATTATGACAGTAATAATATTCACTTTATAAGATGACTGTGAGGATAAACCACTAAAGCAGTTATATGTCACTTAACCATTAGGAACACATTCCAAGAAATGCACTGTGAGACAATGTTGTGTGAACATCAAAGAATGCACTCATACAAACCTGGCTGCAGCTTCATATGTCCTATTTACTGCCCCTCTTGATTCCATCAAAAGGCCATGTGTATCTGTTTTTCAGCCATTTTTATTTCCACCCATGAAAGGAAATTCATGTCTTTCAGGCCTATTAAAATTTTTTGTTGTTTTTCTCTTATTAATTCAAAGACATTGTTTATATACTTGAAATATAATTCTTTTTTATTGATGTTGGCTTCAGACATATTCTTTGTTTTCTGCTCTCTTAATGACATCTATAGTGAATGAAGTTTTAAATTTCATGAATTTAAATGTATTAATATTTTATGTCATTTAAAACATCTGTGATTTTTGAATATTTTCCTTGATTATTGTAAAAATATTTGTTTTTATATAATTTTAAAGTTTTGCCATGTTTAGCATGTAAATTTTTTATCTACTTAGAATTGATTTTTGTGTGTGGTGTGAGGTAGGGACCCAATTTGCCAGTATGTCATTCCTTTTCTTACTAATTTGCAATACTTGCTCTTATAAATCAAAGTTCTCATTCAGTGAGTTTATTTTTAATCTTGCTTCCACTCTGTTGTTCTCTGTTTATCCTCCTGTTGGATTGTTGTCCTCCTTCCCACGTATCTTAATTACTAGAGTTTTACAGTAAGTTCTTGATATCAGGGCAATTCTACTCTCTCCTCCTTCATGATTATCTCTACTCTTTCTGCCATCTTTGCCATTCCAAATACATTTTACAAGTAGCTGAGATTCTTTTTTGCAGAAGATCCATAAAATATTCCCACTGAAATTTTATTAAAATTGTAGATAAACTTAAGGTAAATTGATCTCCTTAATATTGGGTCTTCTTATCCAACATGATTTTGTTTTCACATTGAGATCTTTTTAAACCATATTTTGATGAACATATATACGATTATTCTTCAGTAAACACAAGGGATTGGTTCAAAGACCCCTGCATATATAAAGTTGTAGATGCTCCAGTCCTTTATATAAAATTAGCATAGTATTTGCATATAATCTATGCACATCTGCTCTTCTACTTTAAATTATCTCTAGATTACTTATAATACCTAATACAATGCAAAGGCTGTGTAAATAGTTATAATATTATTCAGGAAATAATGACAAGAAAAAAGCTTGTACACATTTAATACAGACACGGCCATCACAGACTTACCACGTAGCACACATCATCAACTACATTAACTTCTTTTTCAAATATTTTCAGTCCTCAATTGATCGAATCCAAGGATGTAGAGCCCACAGATACAATGGTCCAACTTTTTGCATCAAAGTTGCACAAGCTTTTTTAAAAAAAACTGAAATCATACCCTGAGTTAGTTCACTGATAATATGAATTTAAATCTACCTTATTCACAGCACAACTATTTTTTCCCTTTGACTCTGAGTTTTCCTTTGGCTTTTGGAGCTTGGAAATTTCCCCTGAGGGGAAATATATATATATTATACACACACACACACACACACACACACACACACACTCTGCTTGAGTCAGTTCCTTCATTACCGAGACAAAATACAAGATACCTACCACTTAAGTGAGGAGAGGTTTATTTTGGGCCATGTTTCAGTCCAGAGCCCAATGGCTCCAATGCAAGACAGCATGGGAGAGGGGCATGGCAGAGGAGAGCTGCTCATCATGTCAGACAGAAAGCAGAGAGTCAAAGAGGAGCCAGGAAGGAGATACAATCTTCTAGGTCTCACCCATAGTGACCCTCCTCTTCCAACCAGCTCTCACCTCCCAACAGCAGGTCAGCTATAATGTCCCCATAATCCAATCATCATTCAAAGGTCCCACTTCTGAGAGAATGAGGATTTGGGTGACTCCTAGATCTAAACTATAACAGGTCATATTATACATAGTGTGTATTTAGATCTTAACTTTACGCACAGCACTACTTTTATTCACCTCTGAGTGTGTCCTTTCCTTTTACAGCTTGACCATTTCCTTTTCTTGATCCCATGCTTAGTAAAATATACTTTTAACATTTTGGGCATATTTTAACCAGACGTTCTGAAGCATTTGGAATGAGTGAAGGACTCCCACTTGCATATTTATTGTCTTTAGTAAAAAAACTCCCTACCTTTCTATAGAAACACCAAACCCAGTTTCACAAATTAACCAAAGCTTCAGAAAGTTTGTGACAGAAAAATATGCTTTGACTTTTCTCCCTGGAGCTGATCATGTCTACATGGGTAATTCCCACCCTTCTCCCTTTGGGCATCCTTATTTATTTAGGTTGCCAATAAGGACTGTATCTACCTCTTGAATTCATTAACACTGATGGCTTTCAGGAGACATTTAATAATAGCCAAAACTTATAGAGGGCTCACTGATATATTTGTATGATTTTATTAGTCATCTCCTGCATGGATAGAAAAAATTCACAGACATCTATGGAAATAGCCAATAGCAGAATCTCTCTGGGCTGTGGATCACAATCTTCATCTCCCTTTGTTCTTTTACCTCTTCAAAGAAAACAAAAATGTCCATTAGCTATAGAAACTCAGACAAATGCTCATCATGGTGACCCTTGCTTGACACCTTTTTTAAAAGACTGCATACATGTTGGAAATAATTTGCAGAGCTGTGACTTCAGCCAGAAACTACAATGTCAGTTTTCAGCAAATGCCTGCTGAGTAAGAAAACAGAAGACTCAAATCATGGCTGAGAAATTCAGATGATTTACATATAGGCCATACTGGTGTATTGCTACCTTCATTCTGAAGAAAAAAAACATACTTCCCTTTTTGAGGGGATCAAACTTCCACATATTCATTTTCTCTCCCAGTTCACATTGCAGTCAGGTGAAATAGTTCATGGATGAGTTTAGCAAAGTTCCCTAGCAGAGAAGGGTAAGTAGGGACTATTTCACAGAGACTGGTGGTAAAGTTAAGCTTTATGCCGTCTTGAAGAAAGTGGTATGCTAATAAAATTAATACAGTGGATTGGAAGTTAAAGCTCTAGTTCTTAATGGACCTGAGCTAATTTTTGTCCTATGGGTTTAAATCTTTATTTGGTATCAGATAGAATGAAACTTTGAGAGAATTCATGATTCTAAAGATAAAGATGACAAAAGGGGTCCTAAATTCTGTGATAATATGACATGTCCCTGGTCAAAATAATAATAATAATAATGACATGTAAAGGTGAACTAATAGAGAAAAGGCCCAAAACAAGGAGATTGTTTGTGTTTGGAGCAGTAGGGATTGAAACTGTCTCCACCTCATCCCTTCCAGGAAAAGGAAATGGTCCCTGAGTCTGGGAAAAGAACAGTGGCTGGGCTTCAGGAGATTCATGGGTCCCCAAGTAGCAGCTTCCCTGCTTACTTTCAGGTGTTTTAATCACAGAAAGTAGCTCAGTGGTAAATCAGAGGGTCAGGATCAACACAGAGGGTGCTGTGTAGCGGGAGCTGGGATTTCTGGCCACTACAAACACTGTGAACCTCAGTGTACTGGTCAGTTTCATAATGCCAGGACAAAACTCCTGACATCCACAACTTCAAGGAGAAGAGGTTTCAGATCAGAGGTTTCAGTACATGGTTGGTTGGCTCCAGGACAGGAACATCATGGTGGAACAAAGCTGTATTCTTTATGGAAGCCAGGAAGCAGAGCACCGGGGGAAAGTGCCTGTAAGAGATATACCCTCTGAAGGCACACCCTCCAACTGGGCCCGGCCCACAGCAGCATATTTGGCTACAAACAGCAGTAGATTGATCCACTGACAACTATGGTGTACCCCTATGGTCCAATCACCTCTCCAGGAATCTGTTGATTGAGGCCGATAAGTAAGATTAACTAGCACACAGAGAAAAGAATGGACATAGCAGAGAAGCAACCCCCTGAGTGCTTGGACGCTGAGCACATCAGCAGGTGACTAGTGTGGACTGAAGGCCAGGAGGCCTCCTGTCAAGTTTTGCTCCATGTAAGGTCCATGAGGCCTTCTCATGAACTGTGGGGAGTATTCTAGCCTCATTAATAAATAAGGTATTGAAAGTGGAGGCTCAAGGAAAAATATTCCTATGGCCTGATCGTCTTTGTCAAAACTTATGTTGAAATTTAACCCCCATTTGTGAGGTATTAAGATGTGAGACCTTTAAAAGGTGATGAAATCCTGAGGGCTTGGCTCTCTTAGATGAATCCACTCATGGATTCATGGGTTAATGGGTCCTCTCGATAGGCAGTCTGTTAGAAAACCCAGTCTGACTCTATCTCTTGTGTGTGCTGCTCTCACTGTGCATTGATCTGTGCCACCTCGGGACCCTGCGGAGGCTCAGCAGCAAGACCTTCATCAGATGCAAGCCTTTTACCGTGGACCTCCCAGCATTCAGAATCATGAACTGAAAAAATTGATTCTTTATAAATTACCCAATATATGTAATTTTATTTTATTTATAAAGTAATTGGGCATTTTTTTTTATCCAAGTGTAGTGTTTGTAAACACATAGCTGCCACAATAACCATGTTCTTTCCTTACGCTTATATATGTTATCCATGGAGCTAAGAATTTACATGCTTAATTATTATAAAATTCACTGATGTGTGTATTACTATTGCTTTGTCAGGAGCAGTGTCTCACATTACATACACTAGAAGGCAAAAACATTTCAAACTGTTGGAAACAAGGCAGCATGGATTTTGGTGTCATATAATCTAAGTTGTATTGCTATTTGTTCTTCGAGTATATAAAATTGCAAGATTTTCATTAACACGAAATATCAAAATAAAGAGAAGCAACAGATACTCTCATAAGAGAGTCAAGAACAAGAGTCAGCAGTGTCCTGGGCTTTCAAATGACCCACCAGCCCAAAAGAAGCTGATGTCCAGAACCATGGACAGAGCAATGACCACCGAGAGGCAGCCCTCCAAGTCCCCCCAAACTAAAAATTTCAGTTACACTACCTCTAAGATAAACCCCACTTTACAGATGAAGGAAGTGAGGTACAGAGAGATTAAGCTGTTGCCTCAGGTCACACTGCTGATAATAAAAAGGAATTGAATTTAAACTCACCTCATTTCAAAACCTATGGAGCATTATTGTGGAAGTCACCTACTCTCTTCCCCCATCTCCCCATGGTGTTTTGACAGCTTTCCTTAAGAAGTGACTGCTTTGCTTAAGATTATTCATTGTCTCAGCCACAATCTTGGTCAAGGCCGAGAACATGTTGGCCCCTGCAGTGGTTATTTCAGACTGGAAGCAAGAGAAGCAGCCACAGAGCTAGGCTGATGATACTGCTAGAGTTCTTTTTCCTTCTTTCTTTGTTGTCCTGTAAGCCTAGAGCTCTGAAGGTATGGTGGTGTTGGAGGCACACAGAGCCACGATATCTTCAGCTTAGCGCTTGCAAATGCTGCTTCAGCACCATTTCCATCCCCCTCTCCTCCCCCTGAACCAGCCAGACATCCTCCCGCCCACCTGCCATGTGCTGCCCATGTGCAGCTAAGCTGCCTGTCCCTAGCACCTCTGTGGGGTGGCAACACTTCCATCCTATCAGCACTCAGCTGCAGAAACCCCACTGCTCATCAGCATCCCTGCTTTGTGAGCTAGAAATAGAGATGGAGTCTCCATGTACCATGAAGAGCAGAATAAGGGTAGCTGTGGGTAATTTAAAAACTAACTAACTAACTAAATTGTTTTTCTATTAGGCTGTGTGCACGAATTCTCTCCAGTGTCAGCAGAGGCTATTCACTGTCAGAAAAAGGAAGCCTCATGCTGCCACCCCAGGGACAGGACCTGGGCAGGCAGGCTTGCAGCCTGTCATCTGCCTCCTATTGTTTTTCACCCTCAGGGAAGTAAGGTGACTCTTCCTCTTGCTGGTAGTTTTGGTCTTAGTTGTTGTCTTACAAACCTCTCCTGCTGTCACTAGGAGACAATCCTGGTCACTCTAGGAACTGAATGAGCTGAAGGAGGCTTTAAGAGTATGGGAGTGGGAAGGGGGCAATCAATGATTCAGAGTAAGGCCATTGGAGTGGGCAAAACCAATGTATTCCCTTCGGATCAAGTGTTTGTGCAAGTTGTTGTGGTTTGTGTCTAGATATTCCCCCAAAGCCTCATGCACTCTTAGACGGGCCTTTCCAGAGGCAGA